CTCCTCCCTTCCCTGCTCCCTGCACAGTGTTGCCCCTGCCTGGAAGGAGCCTCCCTACTCTTCTCCTGGCCAACCCCTACTGCCCTTCTGGCCTCAGCTGACCATCGCCTCCCCCTGGAAGCCTCCCCTGGTTACCCCTGCCCCCAGCTCTGTGTCCCAGCTCCCAGAGCTCTGCTTCCTTCTTCTTCCTAGATGCTCGCCACATTGCGATTGTTTGTGAGCTCCATGGACCCACAGGGCGTTGTGAAGCTAAGGCCTACCTATCTATAATAGCTTACAGCTGACCCCCCAGTGCCCTATCCAGAGCCTGGCCCACAGTAGCTGCTGTTGAGACCTGTTGAATGAATGAATGAATGAATGAATGCAGGTGTGTCCTCAGCTTGTGATCTCACTTTGTTGGTGGTTGTCCCTTATGGTTTCATGTATGCTGATTTAAGCCTCAGGGTTTTAAGCCCCTTGAGGATGGGGTCATGTTTCATAGGAAAAGCATGTCCTCCTGGGACAGGCACACATAGCTGGGGCCTGGCTAGGATGACAGCAGGACTAGGTCTTTCAGACCTCCTGTTCCCACACCAGCCAGGCCTCCCCTCCTGACAGCACTGATGACTCCAGGCACGTGGTAGGAGCTGAGCTAATGTTGGTTGAATGAATGTACTACTGCCCTCCCCCAGTGCTAAGAGCACGGTGGGCTGTCTGGGGGGGTGGATCAGCAACTCACCGTTCACCAGGGCGATATTCAGGCCTCTGCCCACGTTGTTTTTCACAGGACTCATGATCCTGAAGAAGAAATGAAAAACAAAATCCAACAGTCAGTCCCAAGTGTGGCATGAACACTATGCCTTTGCGACTCTGGAACTCCAAGAGGGTCCACATGACACGATGCAGAAACAACAGGAAGCACATGGAACAACGTGGGCCATCTGTTTTCTCCTGGAAATGAGCGGTGGGCTAGATTCCCCGAGGAGCCTCTCATGCCATGTTTGGACCAGAACAGTCTGCTCAGGGAAGAGGCAAGGTCCCTGCTTGGGGTTCTGAGGTGTTGGAGGCGGGGCCAGCCCACCTCCCCAGGCTCCGAGGAAGGTACAACTCAGAACATTGCTGCTAGCCTGCTGTGTCTGGGCCCCCCGCCTGGAGCCCAGCTGTGTCCCTCACTGCCCAGCACCCATACTCCTGTCTTCTGGTGTTTCTTGGGAAAACTGTCCTTCTCCATCTCAGGCCAGGTGGTACTCAGGACTGATCTCTCTCCCAGGCTTGGACAAGCAGAGCATCCTGTGCCTCTGGCTTCAGTGATTGGGCCAGGCACGGTCACGTGACCCAGGCCAGCCAATGAGACCCAGTGCTGGGACTCAAAGGGACAGGAAAAGCAGATCTGAAGATGGTGTGTGAGGGAGCCCAATGACATGGTTTGAACTCCTGGATCCAGCTGGTCCTGAAGCCTGCTGCCTCTGGCCTTTTGGGCACATGAACCACTCAGTTCCTTGCTTTGCTTAAGCAAGTTCAAGTTAGGTTGAGAATTCTGACTAAAACACCTGTCTCTGGCTTCTTCTAGGATGAACTTGCTATACCAGGGCCTTTGCCATCTGGCCTTTCTCTTGCACCTGGGTTATACCAGGGCCTTTGCCATCTGGCCTTTCTCTTGCACCTGGGTGGAAGTCCTGGCACCTGTTGCATCCAGGCTCTGATACCTGGATCTTGATCTTGAACCCTCCCCGTAGACATCTCCCTTCATAGGAAGCCCAGCAGCTTGGCTGTCACACAGGCCTGAGTTCAAATCCTGGCTTCGCCACCAGCTTGCTGGGTGACCCTACCTGAGTCTCAGTTTTCCCATCTTTGTAAAGCAGATAATTATAGCCTCACCTCTGGGAGTGTTGGGGGATTGAATGAGATGATGCTGTAAGCACTTGGCAATGTTCTGGCAGACATAGAAGCTGTTAGGATTATTGTTATTTGCGATGCAGAGTAAAAAGAAGCCTGTGGAAAGTGTGGGCTGGTCTCAGGGACTGCCCCTCCCCCGTCTCTGAATTAGCTAATGAATGAATAAAATAAAAGAAATGAACCATAGGAGTCCCTCCTGTACTTACATGTGGTCTTCGAAGCATATGGAGGGGCCCACGACGTTGGCGGCCCCGCTGCAGATTTTAAACGCAAAGTAGTTGTCTGGGCAGGGCTTGCTGAGGTTACACCTGGTCTTCACGACCCCTGGGGAAGGAACAGGCCAGTGTGGTGGCGGTAGCTGTGTGTTGGACCCCCCCCAGAATTCATTTTGGGGCCCGCCATCACAGCCCCAGCAGGCCCCTGGTAAGTGCATGTGGAGTAATGAGTGGTGGTTAATAACAGCGGAGCGTGATGAAGAGATTCTCTTGAGAACCTTTCCCTGGGGCCACAGCAGCCTTTGCGCTCCCAGAGGCCCCTGTTGACAGCCTCCTGGGACCCTGGCATGGTGGGTAGGAGCGTCTCTCACCAGTGGGCTCCCTTGGGCAAGTCTTCAACCTCTTTGCACTTCAACTTCCTTATCTGTGAAATAGGAGCACTATGGTCCCTCCCCCACTGGGTTCTTGTGAGGAATAAATGAGCGCAGGTTAATATCGACTCTTCTTCTTATCATCCTTCAATCGTCATTCATTTACTGAGCACCTACTGTGGGCTAGACCCTGGGATACAACAGGGAGCAGGTAGGCCGTGCAGACCCTCCCCCTGGGTGCTTAGCAAGGTCATGGAACCCACTGAGGACTCACTATGCAGCACCTCCAATTATTGCAGCTGCTGTTAAGACCTGTGTCCTCTCCACACGGCCCTCACAAGGCCAGCCCAGGAGGCCGTGGAAGGCAGGACATGTAGACCCGCAAATACAGCCTCTGAGAATCAGCTGCGCTCTCAGCCTGGCAGGTTCTAATTTATATTAATGCGTGTTTTTAACACCACCTGACAGTGGGGAAGGTACTTTTGGGCAGGATTGGTAAATGTGGAATTAGAGAAAGTTCACCTGTAAAGGGAAAGCGGTGGTTAGGCAGCCTCTTTCGCCTCCAGCTCCTGTGCCAGGTGTCTGGCTGAGCTGTGCCAGTGTGTGCTTGGAGCAAACACACAGGCTTCTTCAGAGAAGCTGGCACACACTGAGGGCTTGCTGTGTGCTAGGCACTGTGGCAAGTGCTTTATAGTTATTATTTTGTTAAATCATTTCAATAGCTCCTGTGCCTGGCACAGAGCAGGCAGCAATAAATACTCACTGAATGAGCAAACAGAGCATTGGGCGGGGCTGAGCCACAGGCTGGGAGGGACGGTGTGATCGAGATGGTTAGCATCTCCAGCGCTCTCGCCAGCCTATAGAGAGCCTCTATGTGAATCAGGAAAAAGCGCCCCCTTGGGGGGAACACAACCCACTGGTGCAAGGCTTGGCAAGCCCTTGGCACCTCTGAGTAGGTATAAAAGTGCCCCTTCCTAGGAATGAATGAACCCTCGCCAGGGCACGCTGCTGGGTTTTGCCCCCCTCAGCTGAACGGGCAGCCCTGGTGATCTGAGCAGAATTCCTGTCCAAGGCTCTCCGCCCCCTCACTCCTGACTTTCAGCACACCCACCTGATGGGTGTAACCAGAGCTCAACCAGGCTATAATCACCAGAGAGTGAGAGACGGAGGAGAAACACCCTAAGGGGCTGTTCTGGAGAGAGTGGGTGTCCAGGCCCACAGGCCACAGCTCAGGAGGAAGGGCTGGAGACGGGGCCCTGACTCCCCTTTCGCACCCTCTAGACAGGACCCTCCACAAGGAGGCCCAGCCCCTTCCAGCGGTTTGGCAGAGGATGCGGCTGGGGAGGGGTCTTCTTCTCCTACGAGCCTTGGAGCCCCACCTCTGGCCACCTGCCCCCTCACGGAGAGGCCAGTTCACTCTTGAGACCAGAGGTTGTCACCTATGACGGAGGGGTTGTTTCAGGCCTTGGGGACCACCATTGAGTTTGCCCAGAGCCTAATCAACTGCAGCTAAGTCTGATAAACCCGATGTCAACAGGCTGGCTTAAGCAGGCTTTTCCAGAATTGATTTTCTGACCATCCAGTTTTCACGGTCCAGCTGAGGGATGAAGGGGATGCTGCCTAGGGGGGGGGTCTCAGCCACTGGAAAGCAAGGGATTTGCTATTTGGGTTCGGGCTTGGGGGCCGCCCCCACCAGCTGCCCAACCCCTGTGGAAGCCCCTAGTGCTGCTGCTCGGGGTGTGAATCTGAGCTCTGGAGGAGGGCTTAGTCAGGAAGCTTGGGCTGCTCTTCAGATCTGCTGTGTGACTTGCCAGAAATCTCTCCCTTTACCTTTGCCAGCTGTAACATGAGGAGGTTGGTTTAGATCAGGGTTGTCAAATAGGTTTCCTCTTAAATGTCAATGGATCTACTCTTAGAGGCTTAATAATAAAGCTCTCGAGGCTACCTGTGGGCTTGGTGGAAAGAGTGCTGGAATGGACTGGGGGTGTCTACCGTGGAGTGGGCAGGTTGGAACATGTGCTAGCATTTGCCACCCTCCTGGTGGGTGATGTCTGAGTGTTGTTCAGTATTGAGATGCTGTGACTCTGTGTCTACTTCAGATTATGGCTCAGGAGGCTTCAGGGAGATGAGGTTGCGGTGAGGGGTGAATCCTTTGTGTTGATTCTTATAGTCTTTGCTGTCTGTGACCCTTCAGTGCACTGGGCCTTCCACACCCTCTCAGGTAAAATCCCATTCCTGGAGCTGCATCCCTCTTCAGTCACCACCATGCCTGGGTGAGAGGGCGGGACCTAGAGGTGTGGCCTTTTGCAAGGAGGTGTTGAGAGGGTGCGCTCTGGACTAGACGGGGAGGTTGACTCCCACTCCACCACTTACAGCTACCGTTGCCTGACTAAGAGAGTTCACCTCTCTGAGCCTCAGTTTCCTCATCTATACAATGGGAATAATTATAGCACCTACAGAGGGCTGTGGTGAGAATTGCATGAGATGCCTGTAAAGTTCCGAATACAGTGTCTGGCACATGGGCAATTGATCGTTGTTACCATTACCCCTCCCACCTTCTCCACACTTGGAGAGCTGGGGTCCTTGCTGTTCAGAAACCTGCAGTGTCCAACATTTGTGGCCTGCAGCATTCCTGCCCTCCCAGTGCTCTCTCCTCTCTCTACTCCTCATGTCCCTGACTCTGCAGCCAAGGTCTCCACTGGAGCCCCAGTATTCCCGCCTCTAGGCTTTTGCATAGGCTGTTCCATCCTCCACAAGGCACAGCTGAAGAGCCACCTTCTCCCTGACGCCCTCTCTGACCCCATTCCACTGGAAGGGGGCGGCCCTCCTGGAGCCCAGAATACTTTGCCCCACCTCTCTTGGCACCATCAGCACTTCTACCCCAACAGATGATCAGCACCCCCTTCTGTTTGCCTCTGGGCATCCCTGTAGTGCCTGACATGGTGCTACATGAAGCAGGAACCATAAGGCAAGTTTGGGGGCATTGTGATGGTGACACTAAGCATAGCTCCCATCCTCAGGGCTCCCAGCTGGGTGCGGGGAGCCAGAGAAGGAAGGCAGAGGTGGGCACAGTCCAGACGGCAGAGTACAGGGACTGGGGACGGGGGCCAGTTGAGCCATTCCCGTCAGTCTGCACGGCTGAGAAGGGGCCACCCCTGCCGCAGGACTTGGGGGCTTCTGAAGGTGCCACTGGGTAATGGGAGGGGAGCGGGACAGACTCTGAAATCACACATTGTTCTGGGACCTGCAGGGCTGGGAGTAGAGACCCCGGGTCATCTCACCCCAAGGCAAAGGGGTGGCTGGGGAGATACTCACTGGTCTTCTTGGAGACTGCCCCTGCTGGAGAGAAGACAGAGTCCGGTTAGAGAGAGAGCGCTTTGGGCTCTCGCTTGCAGGATGGGGGTTGGGGACTGGGGACAGGGGAGTTGGAAGAAGAGAATTTGGACTAATGTTGGCCTGGCCACGCAGAGACCCCCTCCCATGGCGGGTGGTTGAAATGAGCTTAAAGCCCCATCTTGTCTGGGAGTCCTCCCTCACGTGCTGCTGCCGCCCCTTCACTTACACACAACAGGCGCACACACACACACACACACACACACACACACTCACACTCATACACATACACATGCCTATGTACACATGCATACAAGCATGCACACACATAATTGCACACACACACAGACACATGCACACACACACATGCCTATGTACACATGCATACAAGCATGCACACACATAACTGCACACATGCACACAGAGACGTGCACATACACTTAGACACACACAGGCACACGTGTACACTCATGCACACACACACACACACACACACACACGACGCACTAATGGTTATAAAGAAGCGGGGCTCAGTTATGAGACCCACTGGAGTTGGAGCCCTGACTCCTGGCTGTGTGACCGGGTGTGAGTTCTCCTTGACTGCACAGTGGAGGTCATCACGCCCGCCCTCGCAGGCTGTGGAGAAGATCCAGTGAGGTCAAGCTGTAAGGGCCTAGCCCAGCGCCTGCGGTCCTGGCCTCAGTGAGCATACAGCTGTGTTGTTCAGTCATGTCAGACTGTCCTTTTCCTTACTTTCCCCAGTACCTACTGCTCTGGGTCTTAGGGCTTGTGGTCACTTTCTGACATTCACGCTGTGTCCTGGTTGTTTCTGCGGTTCTATGACGGGTATTCCACAATGCTGGCAGTAAGTCCAAGAGGACAAGGCCCCCAGGGGCCACAGAAATTCTGGGGGAGAGGACTCTATTTTTGGGGAGGACCCCACACTGACACACTTTCCATTTGGTCCTCAGGGGGCTGTTCTTCCTGGAGTGTCCCTACCCCCAGTCTCCAAGACCCTAGGAGTAGGATGGGACACAGGCTGGGCCGCTCATGATATTGCATTCCTCTGGAGACAGAGCCGTTGCCTGGGCTGATGTATGGAAGTGCCTCTTTCAGCTAAGCTGGAAGATGAGCATCTGGAGAGAAGGCAGCCATCAGCCCTGCCTTAGAGAGAAAGCTGCCCACGGAACGAGGTTAGGCAGCAACAAGTAGGGCCCAATGACATAGAGACTCCGAGGCTTGTGGGGGTGCCTAGGTCCATCCACATCTGAAGCCTGATATCAATGGACTTCCCAGTTACATGACACAAGATATTCCATTTTGTTTAAACCAGTTAGAATTGGGTTTATCACACCCATCGGAAAGAACCCTGCCTAATTTGCCAGGTAAATCAGGAGCGAGAATCTATCACCCATCCATCATCCATCCACCCACCATCCATGTGATCACCCACTCACTCATCCAATTTTATTTCACTTATCAAATGTTTCCTGAGCATCTGCTCTGCACCAGGTGCTAGGGAGAGGGATGTACACAAAATAAAGTCTTTGCCTTCAGGAAGCTCACATTCCAGAGGGTGGAGATAGACAACAACCAAGTAAACAAATAAATAAATGACATATGATGTATGACAATGATGCTCTGAAGGCAACATGCTGACATGGCTATAGCTGGGGTGGCCAGGGAAGGGCTCTCTGAGAAGGTAACGTTTGAGCAGAGCCCTGAAAGCTGAGACGGAGCTGGGCACAAGGAGATCAGCATGAAGAGGGTCTAAGGCAGAGGGAACAGCAAGTGCAGGTGGAAGCCACTCAATGCCGTTTTCTCCTTCCCTTCCTCTCTCCCTCCCTGCTCCCACCCTTCTTTTCTTTCCCCCTTTGTTCTTCCTTCTTTCTTCCCTTTTTTCTCGGGTCGCATTTCCAAAGGGGCCCTTGATACACATGCTTTTGCCAGAACCTGGGAACACATACGTGTTCCCCCTGGGCTCCAGGCTTTTGACAGACTGGGGGTTTCCTCTCTCACCTCCCATCCCACAATGGCTGGGGTCCCAAAAGCAGGCCCACATTCTGCCATGTCTCCTGGGTCACCCAGAGATGGAGGGGGGAATAGAGCCTTGGCCCTAGCCCTCCATGGTCCCCAGGCCCTGCCCCAGCAGTGAGATGCACTCACCCAGCCAGCGTGGCAGACGGACGGTTTTCATGCTGAAGCTGAGATAGCCCCAAAAAAAGATCCATGAGGTGAACAGGACAAAGATGACGGCCAGGATGCGAAGCAGACCTGCAGAGCAAGGAGACGCTGCCATGAGACCACAGCACCAGACCACATCGCAAGGCTACGTAGCGAGACTACACACGACTCCTTACCAGATCCCCGCAGTGAGACCACATTGTGAGACCCCCATACCACACCCACACTATGGACCAGTCCACGGGCCCACAAGGTGAGGCTAATGTGAATTCATGCAACAATCAAGTGGTGAGGTCATGCTGCAAGATTACATGGCAACATTCCCCAAAGTGGGACCACTGGGAGAGAAAGTTAGACATGCACCTTCCCAGTGTCCTCCAGAGAGAGAATCTCCAGGGCTGAGGTCTGGGACTCTGCACTGTTATCCAGCACCCTGAAGTGGGGCCCGAGAGCTGCAGCAGGAAAGCAGGAGGCAGGCTCTGCTGCAGACAGCCCTGTGGAGTGAGCCCTCCCACAGGAGTCAGGAAGGCTGTGTGCTCAGGGCAGCCATCCACTGCTGTGTGACCTTGGGCAGGAGCTTGGCCTCTCTGAGTTGGAGTCCCTCAGTCTCATAGTGGACATGGTAACACCTTTGCCACTGAACCAATGGCTTGTTGGGAGCCTCCAGGGTGGCTTGAGGGATGGGGTTGGTCCCTCACTTTCCAGCAACTCCCGTGGAAAGCCACCACAATAACCACACAATGCCGTCTACGAGAACACACGCTGGCCTTGCTGAGGTGGCCTCCCCTGTCTCACAGACAGATCGCTCCCTGACCTCCCACCCATCACTGGGAAGCAAGCCCACAAATGGCACGGGCACCCAGAGCTCTCTGTTCCACACCCTTTCCTCACTCTTCCACAGGGCGGAAGCGGGCTCCAAAAGGCTTCCCAGCTCAAGGACCCTGGTGGCTCCTGCTTCTTTTGGAATCAAATCCAACTGTCAGGCCAAGCTCCCTCACTCCTCACCTGACCTTTCTCTTGGCATCATCCTTCTCCTCAGCCTTGAATTCAGCTCTGTGGCCTTGCGCTGGTCTCAACCTACTTGGGGTGCGGGAGAAGGCCCCCTGGATCCTGGGGGCGGGGCTCAGGTCTGTGGGAGTCTGTCATCTTCTAGGGCACAGTGTGGCTGTCAGCACCCAGATTTCCTCCTGGAGACCAGCTCACATGACACAACACTCCCTTTGTGCCAGGTGCTGTGCCAGTAGCTTTTACATACGTCATCTCAATTCATCCTCTCAGTAACCCTCTGTGTGGATCCTATTGCTTATCCCCACTTTACAGATGAGGAAACTTAGGCTCAGAGAGGTGATCGCTTGGCTAGTAAGTGAGAAAGGTGGGATTTGAACCCAGAGCAGTAAGTCGACTCTAAAACTTGTGCTCTTAACTCGCGCACAGCTGTTTGGGAATGTAAATGCACTGTGTTCATTTCTTTTTTTGAGCCTCAGCTTCTCTATTTGTACAGCATAGACTAGAGGGCAAAGGCTTCTTGTGCCCAGCCCTGTGGTATGAGGATTCTAGAAGACCCCTCTTGAAGCAAATAATTTCCAACCAGGGTCATGTGTTTCCAAGATAAGGCATGCCTGTGATCCCAGCCAGGTAGGGTCACTGTGCCAAAGTTTCCCTAGCCCTTCAGCCAACAGGCAGGAAGTCTCCTCTTCCACTCTCCCAGGCTCTCCCTGGATTGATTTCCTCCTGGAATTCTGGTCTGACCATTTGAGAACAGATGCAGCCAAATGACCTCTGAGCCCATGATATGCAGACACTGTTGACAGAGACATGATTCCAAAACCAATTTTGGACCTCAGCCGTGAGCCTTAGAATCCTCCAAGCCTGGCCCTACCTGATACTCTCATCCTGCCCAGGTGAGGAGTGGCTTGGGGTCAGCGTTAGCCTGTGGAGAGAAGAAAATTGCATTGGAAACCAGAATCTGAGGTCTGAAACTGCACAAGACTGAAGAGTGGGGACAGGTACCTCTACTTGAGAGATCACCGTCCTTTCAGTTTGGTTCCTCACCACCTGCCATATGAAAAAGGGGGCCAGTTTTCTTCCTTCCCTCTCTGTCTCTACCTCTCCGTCACTTTTGCCCGTGGAATTTTATAACCAACATGTCTTTTTCGAGTGTGGAGACTAGAAAGCAGGGGAAGGTGCAGTCTGCCAGCCACCGTCTCTTGGAGAATTGATTTATTCATCTATCCATCCATCCATCCATCCATCCATCCATCCATCCATCCATCCATCCTTCCATCCCCCGAGCCACCTGAGAGACAGTGAGTCAGCTATTATAGCTCCTGGGAAACCATCAGGGGGCGGAAGCTCAAGGGATCTTTGCTGATGTAGCAAAATGAACAATAATCATGGCCTGCAAGTCACAGGAGGTTTTGTACCAGGCGCCGTATATGCATTATCTCCTTTAACCCTCACAACCCTCCATTTTAGGGTGAGTAAGCCTTGCAAGGGTCAGAGTCGGAATTCGGGGGCAGGTCTCCAGCTGCCCAGTCCCCACAGGGCCCCACTGCCAGGGCTTTTTGTCTTAGATGAAGGGTTGACATGGAAGTTTCCTCCTTTTTTGAGTCCTGAGCAGGGGTAGAGTCATCTTGGGCCTGCCTTTCCCCTGTGCCACCCACAGGAACTGGGTTTCCAGGATTCGGCAGCTTTGAAAACCCCCAGCAGGTCTCTGGAAAAGGAGGGGAATTCTCAGGGGCTGGTGTTAACTGTCCCAGGTGCAGACTCCTCACAGCAATGCCCCCACCACTCGTCCTGTCCCCTCCCTACCTCAGAACCTTCTTTATCCTAAGAATCTATCTCAACAGCCATGACGTCTAAAGCCCAACTGCCAAGGATCCCGATATGAAATAGGAGACCTGGTACTGACGCGGCTGGGCTGGGTCAGTCCTCGATATTTAAACAACAGCAATAGCCAGTACAAGTCCCCATCTCTTCTTGAGAATTATGACAGTCCTCCCACCCACTCTGGCCCTAACCCTCTAGGGCCTTCCAGGTGAGAAAGCAGCTGGACCATCTCAACTGTCTCCTGGGCCTACCCACAGAGATTTTGTAGAACTTAACTTTCTGAAATTCAGATGACCAACTTTTTTCCCCATATACAAAAGTATATTATGCTCTTGAATGTTCTCGGTATGTCTAGGGCCCTGGATGAGGCTTGAAGGACATCCTGGAGTGTGTGTGTGTGTGTGTGTGTGTGTGT